AGGCTGCGGTGTCCGGGAGCGGCCACTGCACTCCAGTCTGAGTGACAGAGTGAGACTCCAACTCAAAAAAAAAAAAGTCATCTGTCTATAGCTGAAGGGATTGGGACTCAGGTTAAATGACTTGCTCAAGGTCGTGCAACTAAGAACATAATTCTAACTCATCTGCCTCTTTGTCTCCCTGTAGGTGGGAAGCCGTTGGGTGGTGGAGGTGTGGAGGGTGGACAGGTGAGAGGCCAAGCAAGGCTCTGGCTGCACTAATATGGGAGCATGAGACTGATCTAGGGTTGGGAATGGGTTGAAGAACTGTGACAAGCTGGGATGTACTGTGACAAGGTGGGATGTTGTGTGAAGAGTCAAAGCCGACTCACAAGCTGTCTAGCATTCTTCGTGGTGTGCTGTGAAGCTAGTGGGTATAACTGTAAAACATGGGGAGAGGAGAGTTCTGTAGTCCAAAGGTTGAGAAATGCCCAATTAACTCAAACTAAACAGGTTCCTCTTTGTAGGTCTTCACAGAGCTTTTAGTGCTAAAGAGCAGTGTGAGTCGTATAGGGTGAGACACCGTGTAGTGAACCTTGGGAAAAGTTGCGTTGATGGGGGAGACTGGTGGTTTCTCGCAGGCCAGAGCTATGTCTGTTCATGTCTCTGTCCCCTCATTTTAGAATAAGGCCTTTAGGGAATGTGAGGCATTCAGGTAATGCTAGAATGAATGACTGAGACCAGGTGTTGTGGCTGATGCCTGTAATCCCAGCACTTTGGGAGGCTGAGGCAGGAAGATCACTTGAGCCCAGGAATTAGAGACCAGCCTGGGCAACATAGACTTCATCTCTACAAAAAAATCAAAAATAAAATAAAAAGAGAATGAGTGACTGAAATAATGGCTAGAAGGCAGTTCAGAGGGAGCAGCAGACAATAAATCCCAGCAATCATCTGTGCTCTAGGCAGTGGTAAAACCCAGGTGTACTTCTCCGTGAGGTGGGCCAGAGATCTCTTTCCCCATTGACTGCTGAGTTGGAAGTAACAGGAACATATTGGTAGGAAGGGTCACACAGCAGTGAGAGAGACATGGTGAGAAGTTTGGCTGGAAGGTGAATTTGGGGATACCTTATGCCGACTGATCCTCACAGCCAAGGATATGGTTGATTCTTGACTAGAGTTAAGATCAGTGGTTCGACCCTGGCTGCACATTAGAATCATCTGGGAAACAAAAAGTAATACCCACGCTTGGGTCCCACCTCTAGAAATTCTAACTTAATTAGTCTAGACCAATGGTGCCCAAACTTGTCTGCACCTTAGAATCACCGGAGAAATCTTTTAAGCCAAGCCTCCCCCAGCCCAATTAATCACATTCTTTGGGGGTGGGACACAGACATCTGTATTTTTTGAAGCTTCCAGGTGACTCCAATGTGCAAACAAGTTTGGGAACAGCTGATAAAAGCATCCTTTAAAAAACTCCCCGGTGGCCGGGCTCAGTGGCTCAGCCTGTAATCCCACGCCTTTGGGAGGCTGAGGTGAATGGATTGCCTGAGCCCGCGGGTTCAAGACCCGCCTGGGCAACTTGGCGAGCCCTCATCTCTACAATAAATCAAAAACTCAGCCGGGCGTGGTAGCGCGCGCCTGTAGTTCCGGCTACTTGGAAGGCTAAGGCGGAAGGATTGCCGGAGCCCAGCAGGTCGAGGCTGCGGTGGCCAGGAGTGGCCACTGCACTCCAGTCTGGGTGACAGAGTGAGACTCCAACTCAAAAAAAAAAAAAACAACTCCCTAGTGATTTTTTTTTTTTTGATTGGAGAAATATAATTTATTTAGAAAGCAAATTAGAGAAAAGAGAGAGAAGATTCACCTCCCCAAGGTAGGGGAGGGGGCCAAAGCTTAAGAAAACACGGTCTGGCCATAGCTCAAAGATCACATGGCCAGACCATAGCTTAGCAAAGCATTGGCGAACGGAGACAGAGATTCACCTCCCCAAGGCAGGGGACGGGACCAAAGCCAAGAAATATAGTGGCCATAACTCAAAGAGCCACATGAACACACCAGAGTTTAGCAAAGCAGTGACTTCCCCTGGTAATTTTAATGTGCAGGCAGGATTGAAAATGACTAGTCTAGTGTAATGGTTCTCAAACTTGAGCATGCAACCGGGCACGGTGGCTCATGCCTGTAATCCCAGCACTTTGGGAGGCTGAGGTGAGAGGATTGCCTGAACTCGGGGGATCCAGACCAGCCTGGTCAACTTGGTGAGACCTTATCTCTATGATAAATTAAAAAAATAGCTGGGCGTGGTGGTGCAAACCTGTGGTTCCAGCTACTTGGAAGACTGAGGCAGAAGGATCATCCGAGACTAGCAGGTCGAGGCTGCAGTGGCCATGAGCTTGCCACTGCACACTAGCCTGGATGATAGAGTGAGAGTCCAACTCAAAAACAAAACAAAAAAAACTTGACCATGCATCAAAAATCACCTGGAAACCATGTTGAAACTCAGATATGGGCTCCCAGCGTCTCTGATTCAGTAAGTGTGAGGGAGGGGAGCTGAAAATTTGCCTTCCTAGTCAGTTCCCAAATGTTGCTGATGCTCCTGCTCTGAGAAACACACTAGGAACCCACACCGGTGTTTCCCTAATCTCAGTGGGAAGAATGGGATTAGTAGCAGCAGAGGCTGTATGCTTATTAAATAGAGACAGGGAGAGCACAGTTATCTCAAGAAGCCTCAGGGCTGGAGTGGTCACCAGAGCCTCTTGACTGGCAGGAACCTGTGGGTATAACCATGGGGTCCATGGAATTAAAATAGATAGGGTACTTGCTAAGGTGCGACTCAGCATATGCAGAAAGGTCATGGGAGGTCTTAAGAACCATCTCAGCCTGGCTCAGTGGCTCAGCCTGTAATCCCGCGCCTTTGGAAGGCTGAGGTGAGTGGATTGCCTGAGCCCGCAGGTTCAAGACCCGCCCAGGCAACTTGGCGAGACCTCATCTCTACAATAAATACAATAAATCAAAAATTAGCTAAGCGTGGTAGCACGCGCCTGTAGTTCCAGCTACTTGGAAGGCTGAGGCAGAAGGATCGCCGGAGCCCAGCAGGTCGAGGCTGCGGTGGCCGGAAGCGGCCACTGCACTCCAGTCTGGGCGACAGAGTGAGACTCCAACTCAAAAAAAAGAACCGTCTCAAAGACTGGAGCCTGTGAAGGTGATTGCAGGGTTCAGAAAGGGATGCAAGTTGTCAGACACTGGAACAGGCTTGACATAGGAGGAGCTTCAGCCTGCACACTGGGCAGGGCATGGAGGGTGGGTGGGGACTTGCTTCATGTAGTTCAGGGATAGAACCTAGATTAGGTATTGGCCATGCTTGATTTTTATTCCAAGCCTTTCTTAGCCAGAGTGTTGATGGTACAGGAACTAAATAAAAGTGTCAGCACCATTCTATTCTTCATTTTTCACATAATGTTTATTGGGCATCTCCCGTGTTTCAAGCACCATAGTAGTGCTGAGGGTGCAGCAGGGACACGGCCTGGTCCTTGCCCCAGGGCACTTTCAGCCAGATGACAAAAGTAAGCAGATAAAAAATAATTACAAACTCCTAGAACTAATAAGTGAGTTCAGCCAGTTCCCAGGATACAAGATCAATACATAAAAATCAATTGCATTTCTCTATACTCACAACGAACATGTGGAAACTAAAATTAAAAACACAATGCCATTTACAGTTGCTTCAGAGAAAATGAAATACTTAGGTATAAGTCTAACAAAGCATGTACAGGGTCTGTATGCTGAAAATTAAAAATTAATGATGGGGCCAGGAATGGTAGCTCATGTCTGGAATCTCAGCACTTTGGGAGGCTGAGGCAGAGCATTGCTTGAGCCCAAGGCTTCAATACCAGCCTGGGCAACATAGCAAAGACCTTGTCTCTGCAAAATATTTTTAAAAATTAACTGGGCATGGTGACATGTACCTGTAGTACCAGCTACTCAGGAGGCTGATGTGGAAGGATTACCTGAGCCCAGGAGGTCAAGGCTGCAGTGAGCTATGATTGTGCCACTGTACTCGAGCCTGGATGACCGAGTGAGACTCCAACTCAAAAAAAAAAAAAGATGAATTAATGATGAAAGAGATCAAAGATGATTCAAATAAATGAATAATGCATACTGTGTTCATGGGTTGGGAGACTCAGCATAGTAAAGTTGTCGATTCTCTCCAAATTGATCTTTAAATTTAATGCAGCTCCTATCAAAATCTGAAGGTTTTTTCATAGACATAGATGGACTTATTCTAATAATTATATGGAAAGACCAGTTTACCTGAAGCAATTTTGAAAAAGAAGAATAAAGTTGGAGGAATTACTGTACCTAATGTTAAGTTTCGAGATAGCTACAGTAATCAAGACAAGTGTGGTATAGACCAAGGGGTAGGTTCATGGGCCAATAGAGCAGAATAGAGAACCCAGAAGTAGTCCCCCACAAGTACTCACAACTGATTTTGGACAATGGTACAAAGGTAATGTAATGGAGGAAAATAAAACCTTTTAAACAAATGGTGCTGGAACTATTGGAGGGCATCCTAGGGCTAAGATAATAATAATAAATGTAAACCTTATACCTTATGCAAAAATTGACTGAAAGTGGATCAGAGACTTAAATGTAAAACATAAAGTGACCAAGTTCTGGCTGAGTATGGTGGCTCATGCCTGTAATCCCAGCAGTTTAGGAGGCTGAGGCAAGAGGATTGCCAGAGCCTAGGGGTTTGAGATCAGCCTGGATGACTTGGTGAGACCTCATCTCTAATACATCAGAAAATTAGCTGAGTGTGGTAGCACATGCCCTTGGAAGACTGAGGTGGAAGGATTGCCTGAGTTCAGGTTGAGGCTGAGGTAGCAGTGAGCCTGCCACTGCACACTAGCCTGGGAGACAGAGTGAGACTTCGACTCAAAAAAAAGAAAGAAATTACTAAGTTTTTAAAACATAGCATAGGAGAAAATCTTTGAGAACTAGGGCAAGACAAAGAGTTCTTCACCATTACACCAAAAGTATGGTCCATTAAAAATTTTTAATTAATTGGACCTAATCAAGATTATAAACTTTTGCTCTGCAAAAGAGAATGAAAAGACAAGTATGGATGGGGAAAATATTTGCAAACCACATATTCAACCAAGGACGTGTATCTAGAGTATATCAAGAAGTCTTAAAACCCAACAGTTTAAAAAAAAATTCAGTGAGAAAATGGGCAAAAGATATGAACAGGCATTTCACCAAAGAGCACATGTAGGTGGCAGATAAACTAAAAAAAAGTTCAACAGTGTTAGCTCTTGGGAAAATGCAAATTAAAACCACAATGAGATATTACTACACTAATCAGAATAGTTACAATAAAAAACAGTGATAAGCCGGGCTTGGTGGCTCAGCCTGTAATCCTGCACCTTTGGGAGGCTGAGGTGAGT